AGTGCTGGAAATGCTTTTGGAAAGGGAAAACGTAAGTATTTGAAAATGTTAATGACAAAAAAAAATAATTTACATTATTATCACAATATATTATTTATTTATATTATTTATTTTAGTTTGGAGTTGCTATATAATAAGTATATTGGGACAATAATCTAAATTATAATGATGAACAATACCAAACTAAAATAAACTATATTGGGTATTAGATAATGATTCACTGTCCATAATGTGGCTTAAATAATTTTTAAATTGTAATATTATATGTTTATAATTATTATAATATATGTAGTCATTTATCTTTTCCTACATTTTTAATTTTACTTTATACTATAATATTTTTTTTTAGTTGCAAAGAAGGTTCAAAGAAGAAAGAAATTTTGGCTTGCATAAAATTATCCGGTGTGAATGCGAAGAAACTTTGTTGTGACGAGAAGTTTTCTTGTTTTGTAACAGTTGATCATCCCGGACACATTCATATCATGAATTTAATGCACGCAAACACATAGCATCTCATCCAAGGAGGTTTCATATTTTTATGGACCTTGTGTATGACCGTGTTGAAGAAAAAGAAGTCAATGCAAACGCCATTTAAGTCTAACTACGTGTCACTGCCATGTTTTTTCTATTTTAATTATTTTTAATTTTAAATAATAGCTTGAACATGATTACTCCACTAGCAACTAAAAGAAGAAGAAGAACATGATTACGACGGACATTATGTCCAGGAATTGTGTGCACGCGATTAGCATGAAAAATGCAAAATTCAGTACATATATTAGTTTTATGTAATTTAATTAATGAAATTAGACATTTTTTGAACAACGTAAATAATATGTATTTTTTAATTATGTTTAATTTTCAATTATTTCTCTGGTTATTTCCAGATCCAATTTTATCATTATTTGCTAAACATTTAATTAATAAAATACGTAAATAATTGCTCCATTTAAATGCTTTAATGGATTTAAATATTAATTTAATGCTCAAATTTTAGTATTTTTTTAAGCAATTACTCAATAACTTGTAAATTTTTTGACTACGTAACGCAATAATGATACAACGAAAAACGTATTCTAAGTATCAAAAAATTGTTTATATTTTTAATAATAGCATAATTTAAAAATAATTTGATTTTTTAAGTTAGAACAATTTAGTTTTTAAACTATATAACATGATAAATAAGTTGCTATATTTTATTTTTGAAATACAAATTTAAGGTGCCCTAATTAAAATTAATGATCTGTCACAAATTTAACTGCCATAAATCTACCAAATGTGTAAAATCTACCAAATATGTAAAATTTACAAGTCTTTTTCTGGTCAAAGTATTAAAATGGCAACCCAATACTAGACAGAAAAAGAAACTGACACTGAATCTCACTGAACAAGCAAAAATTAAATCTGTCAAAAATATTTAATCGAGTTCATTGAATCGTTCACATAAATTGAATTTGTCCTTTAAAATATTATAAATCGAATTTTGAAAATGGCTTCTCTTAAGGATGTAGCTGCGTTGTATCAAAATCTTAAAACAGAATGGTCTAAAAAACCACGAAAACTTGATAAGTGCGGAGAGTTGTTAAACAAAATAAAGGTAAGATGACTTGTCAAAATATTTCTTTGTTTTTCTATTATTTTAGTATTAATTTTCTACCTTTTTTAACGATTTGATAGAATTAGATTACGTTTTATTCGTTAAGATTTAATGTATTACCCAATAAAAATTTATAACCTAGATTCGAAATAGTCCGTTTGTTCAAAGAAAAATAGAATGTTTTATTTAAGTTAAGGTCTATACTGACATAAAATTATTCGACAGGTAGCATTAACACAGCTGAGTTTTCTCCCGAGTAACAATGCAGCGGCTAACCAGAAAGAATTAATCCTTGCAAGAGATGTACTTGAGATTGGTGCACAATGGGCAGTTGCGAGTAAAGATGTAAAAGCCTTTGAAAGATATATGTCACAATTGAAATGTTATTACTTTGATTACAAGTAAGTTCTTACTACCATTCAATGAAATAGTGTATTCACACTCTCATGTGTTTAAAGGTTACGTAGTAGATGCTACCCTCAGTCATTAGAGAAAAAAATAAGCATTAAAAGACTGGTTAAAAACTCATTCCCATTAAAACGTGTATTGTGCCAACTTTAGCTTTATGTAGACTATCATTACATTTAACTTATTCTACAGAGACCACTTACCAGAATCAGCATTCATGTACCAGCTGCTTGGTCTAAATCTGCTGTTTCTATTGGCGCAAAATCGAGTAGCAGAGTTCCACACAGAACTTGAACGTCTACCAGTGGATGTGATCAGGGCAGATCCATACGTCAGACATCCGTTGGCTCTTGAACAGTATCTGATGGAAGGAAGCTATAATAAAATATTTTTAGCAAAGGTAGGTATTGTAAATAATTTGAATCATTAATAATTATTCTCTTCGAATCTCTAATTTTAAATGATAAACATTTTACTCTCTATACCACCATAATTTAATGAGTAAGGCACACTTAAGTTAATAAAACTAATATAAACATTACATCTTCACAGGGTAATGTACCAGCAGAGAGTTATACATTATTTATGGACACTCTGCTAGAGACTGTGCGGGGAGAGATCGCTGCCTGCATTGAGAAGGCCTACCTGAGCATCCCCTGCGGCGAGGCAGCAAGGCGACTCAATCTTCCATCACAAATGGCTGTTCTTGAATATGGAAAGAAGGTATGTTCAAAGAAATCCAA